GAAAGGATGAAAGTTATACAGGTGTTCAGGTCTTTCGTTCATAGGGTAGGTATGAGTCACCTCCAACTCGATGGCACTTAACAACAACACAACAACATACTTAGACCAGGAAGCAGTCATTGTATAAAAAAAAAAAAAAGGGAGAGAGAGAAAACAAAAACTACCACATGGTTTAAACATCAAGATAGGAATGTGTCAGGGATGCACCTTATCTCCATACTTTTTCAATCTAAATGGCAGAACAGATCATTCAGGAAGCTATATTTTATTAGAAGGAATGTAGCATCAGGATTGGAGGAAGACTAATCAATAAGTGTATTATGTAGATGACACAAACTTGCTTGCTGAAACTAAGAATGATTTGAAGCATTTGCTACAGAGGGTCAAGGACTGCAGTCTTCAATATGCATTGAAACTCAACATCAAGAAAACAAAGATTCTCATCACTGAGAAAATTGACAGCACTATGATAGAGAAAAGATTGAAACTGCTAACAATTTCACCTTGCTTGAATCCACAATCAACGCTCTCAGCACCAGAAATCAGGAAATCAAAAGACAAAAAGCATTAGGAAAGTCTGCTGTCAAGGACTCTCCATAGTGCTGGAAAGCAACAGTGTCAGTCTAGAGACTATGGTGTGCCTGATCCAAGATACAATCTTCACAATGACTTGTTATGTATCTGAGAGCTGGACAATGACTAAAGATGATAGAAAAAAAAATGGATGTCTTTGAGTTGTGGTGCTGGAGAAGAATCTTGAGAACACCATGGCCTTCCAAGAGAACAAATATGTCTATTCTACAGAGGGTGAAACTAAGTTGCTCCTTAGATGCAAAGATTTTGAAGCTCCGTCTTACTTACTTCAGGCATGTTGCCAAGAGTGACTAGTCCTTAGAGAAGGTAATCATACTTGGAAGGCAAAGGGAAACCTCAAGAGAGGAAGACCCTGAATAAGAAGATTGACACAGTAACTGGGGTAATAGTAGTAGGTGTGTTGAAGACAGGGAGATTGGCTCAGGATAGGTCAGGGTTTAGAGATGTTGTCCATGGAGTCACTTTGAGTCACAGTCAGCTTGATGGCACATAACAAGAACAATATCTAATCAATCCCTTATTGTATATTGTCTTTCCCTTTACCCAACTTATTTACTTTCTCTCCCTTTCTTCCTATACCTGTTAATCATCCAAGATTGTGTAAACATGTCCTTATATTTGTATGTTTACTATTTTAAATTTATTTGTGTGAAAGGTTACAAAGAAAACTGTTTTAATAATTTCCAAATTACTTATATATTCTTTCACAACATTAATTATAAAACACATAATGTCTGAATGTTCATTCATTCCATATTCTTTCCCTTACTCATTTAAAAAATATGTTCATTGTATATTTATTCATTTTTAACTTCCCAAATGGTTTCCTTAGCAAACAGAAATGTCTTGGAGAGGGTGCAGCCAGAGTGCTCTTTGGAGGAATAATGACTCTTTGCCTCACACACTTAGGGCACGTTGCTGGGAGGGGCTATTCCTTGGAGAGAGATATGATTCTGGGAAGGGTGGAGGGTCAGCGAAGGAGAAGACTCTCAACCAGGAAGACTCTCACTTAGGTGGTCTGACATGGTACCGTTACAATGAGCTCTTGTGTGTCTGGAAGTGTGAAGATGGTGTAGGATAGAACAGGGTTCAGATAATTTGTTCATAGGGTTGCTATGAGCTGTACTCAACTTGAAAGAACCTAACGACAATACCCATTTTCTGACTTTGTCATGTGGATGAGCTGGAATATATAAATATGGTAAGGTAGCCTATCCACAAGGGGATTGGCTAGTTTTGCCATTAAATTGTGCAGATATTGCAGCAGGTTGGAGAATATTCCCTACCAGTGAAGAAGGAAGAGAATACAATGCATCCTTCAGGGCCAGAGATTACTGCATCCACCAGACCAGTGCCTATGGGAACAGCCATCATGGCAGCAGATAACCAGAGATTTTATATGGGACACAGTGAACTTTGGGGCTGCTACACTATGGGGAGCCAGAGTAAAAAGGTTTTTTCCAACTTTGTTGGAGGACTGGGCGATGGGAGCCATTACCGGTAGGGCTGAGAGCTTTGCAACACTGCTCTAAAGCCACAACACTGAGGGCACAATTCAGAAGCTATCCTGACTTGTTTTCCTACTAACTTGAATTATATGCCCTTTTATCTTCCCCCATATATTTCTGTGTGGTCTGTAAACTACTGCATACAATTTTGAACCCAATAAAGCAGTAAGATTGATGTTGGGAGGATTAGAAAGAGGTGCTGGAGCATACGGGACATTTCTGACCTCATGGGAAGGGCTTTTGTGTTGTTGATGTTATCGACAGTTCCTCTTTGTGAAATTGGCAAAAGTCAGTTCTGGCCGTCCCCATGCTGCCCTTGCTATTCTCATAGTAATCATGCCTGATTGATGCTCTCCATATGTAAACCTTTCTCTAGTCTACATGACAGTAGTCAAATATTTATCATTTTATGACTGACTGTTCATTCAGCATGATGTTTTCTAGACTTACCCTTAACTTTTTGTAATATCTATGTACCAGTATTATAAAAAAAAACAATTCTACATGGAGGAAGAAAGGTAAATGACACTAAATAGGTAGCTTCTACAACCTCTCCTCTCTTCTTGGCCCAATGGCATACCCACATTTTCTTATGCTCCTCAGTTCCACAATCCCCCCACAACCAAGAAGCTGTTCTGGATAAAAACGAGAGTCACGATATTTGGAAAGATGCATTTCTTCTGTTAAGTCTGAGAGCCTACACTCTTACTGTCAGAGAACGGGTCACTGGTCCAGTCTTAACTACCCCTAGAAAACAACCTAGCCTCTCCTAGTCAATGCCATGCATCAATATGCTCCCTTGTTATTGGACACAGTTACTGTAACTCTGTAAGTAACACTAGTTTGCACAGAAACCTTTAATGCATTTTCATTGTTAGATCTTGAAATAAATAAAAAAAACCTGTTAACATTTACTCATCAAGTGTTCTAAAAATAAAATCTCACTGTATGGGACATGTCTTACCTTCTGAGGGCAAGATGGCATCGTTAGCACAGTGAGGAGAGTTGTGCATCTGTGAAGTCATATAGGGTCACACATCCCTGTGAAACAAGCCAGCAAAGGAGCAGCAACACCAGGGGAAAGATATGACTGCTCATCATCTGATCACTTCTCTCCTCGCTCATGGTGGCTCCTCAGAGCTGCAAGGCTGTGGACCAGCGCCCCTGTGGTACAGTGAACTAATTAATACGGCTCTTCATCCACAGCCTTGAATTTGAGAATCTAGCCTCTTTGTTTAAAATTCCATTCAAAGATAGATATTTATTGTATTAAGGAGATAAGAGTTGGATGGATACATCTGGGTGTCTATGGTTCATCATTCAGAAGATTGTTTTCTTTAGTCAGTAGAGTCACAGGTGACTCAACAGCACATAACAACAACAACAACAACTAGTCAATAACTGTTTGTGTTGAATTAATTATTGTATTAAGGAGAGAAGATTAAGATGGGATTCAAGCCCCACTCTGCTAGAGGCTTACATTAACTCATGGGGCCTCTGTCCTAGGGGACTTTTTCCTCTGGAAAAGCTCACTCACCTAGGACATAGCTGCCAACTACTCATCAGCCTTAAAATACTCCAGTTTGCATCACACACAGTTACCATATAGCTGTGCAACAAGTGACAGTCTACAGGATCCTGGCCCATTACTCACCTGTTTCTCCAAAACCTGCCTGCATCCTATGGTCAAGTGTGTCATTCTCCTGATGGGTCTAAGTCTCTGGAAGACCTTCTAGTGAATGAGAACCCAAAGGCTATAGAGGAATTGGGGAACTAAGCCATAGATGGAGCTGTTCATGTTAGAAATTATGGACACATACAGCTAGTTTAGGATTTGGGACTACAATGACCTGAGACTTCTCATAAATAGTCTGCTATTACTCTTGGCAGGACAAATTATGAAAACATACAAAACTCACCCCAGTCTCCACCTTTAGATTTACAAGGGGTGTGATTTATAGCACTGAGATCCTATATAAACAAATGATGCTACAAAGTTCAAGTCTTTTTTTCCCCCCAATATTGCTTCTAACCTGATTCGGTTGGGCTGTCAGCTTCAACATGCAGGCTCATGGTCCATCATTCATCAGTCTGTTGCAACCACATACATCAGTCTATACCATTCACAACGGCGTGGACCATTATCATTTTTAGTTTCTATGAGAACTTTCAGTGACTCACAGAACTCAAAAACATACACCAGAGTGGGAGGACTGAAGGGAAGGGGAATACAGAAGAACTAATGTCAGAGATGATGGGATGATACAGTACAGAAGTTTGGACATTTGAGAAATGTTAACCTCTGCTATATAGGAATAAATATAGTAAATCATTGTAAAAGAAATTATTTGTGAAACTCTCACTGAGCATTTCTGAGAACTGATCCTTCACCAACTGATTCATTTTCCTTCACATTTTCATTTTTATCAGTGCAACATGCTATGTTATTTAGTAGAGAGGAGGGGAAAGTAGCATTTGTCTCATGTGCCTGGCAGAATAACACAACCATTCAAAAGGCAAGGCTCTAGTACTTTGTACAATAGAAGGCACAGGTGTCTGGGACAGTTGGGACATTGTATGTGGAAGCAAAGACAGTGAGGAGGATACTTCATTCTGATAGAATAGTTCTTTCTGATGGCTAGACAGTGCTTTTAGAGGCAAACTGGCCACAAGATTCTCAGAGAATTCCATTTCAGCACCTAGATAACACTTACCATGGGAACCTACTCATACAGACATGTACACACAAGCTCTTAACAGGAATGTCAAAATCATGCCTTTTATTTCGGAACTGTCATTGGTACACCAATAAGGTCACTTTGGGCTGTAGGCACATTGTAAATGTATAAGGAAATGGGAGGAAGACAGAGAAGGACTATATCCAACAACTCCTCTTTCTCATGGAGAGGAGAATCGGCCACAGAACAGAATGCTGTTCGTCTTGGCATGCTGGATGAAGAAAAGAAAGGGATGGTCCGCACAGAACTGCGGGTAACGCCGGGCACAAAGCAGTGTGATAACAGCAGCAGTGGCACCCACAGCCTCTGTGCCTTCTTCATTGACCTCCACAAAACTCTTGTGCACAACCTTAGATAGGAATAGGTCTCTCTTCGATGATATTCCAGAGAAATCTGCCTTGCCTTGGTCAAAGGCATCAGCCATGCCCAGACTGCAAAGGACGCCCTTCATGTCGTAATTCTCCTCCAGCTTGAATCTAGGAAGGGAGACTTCCACCTCTTTCTCATCCATCATGTCTAGATTTGTCCATTCCATGAACTTCTCATAAGTAAGTTCTTTTTCCACCTGGTAAGAAAGAAGTGAAGATTTTAAGATCTATAATAGTGCTGTCCAGGAAGACTTTCTATGAACCCATGATTTTAAATGTGGTAACTACTGTTGTTATGTGCCGTCCAGTCGTTTGCGACTCATAGCGACCCTATGTACAACAGCCCTAAACCCTGCTCTATCCTGTGCCAATTGCATTGCCTCTGACACCCCTATCCCGATTACCCTAGTCACTGAATCAATTCACCTCATAGAGGGTCTTCCCCTTCTGCGCTGTCCTTCTACTCTACCCAGCATGATGTCCCTCTCCAAAGACCTGTCTCTCCTTGCAACATGTCCAAAGTATGTCAGACGAAGCCCCAAAATCTTTGCCTCCAAGGAGTAGCCTGGTTTAACCCTCTCTATGATGAACCTGTTTGTTTTCTTGGCAGTCCATGGTACATTCAATACTCTTCTCCAGCACGACAGCTCAAAGGCGTCAATTCTCCTTCTGTCCTCCCTAGTCATTGTCCAGCTCTCTCATGCATAACAAGTGATTGCAAAAACCATGGCCTGTATCAGGCGCACCTTCGTCTCCAAAGAGACACCGTTGCTCTTGAGTACTTTAGAGAGGTCCCTAACAGAAGACTTTCCAGTCAAAGGTAAAAAACATATTCTTGAAAGGTGGGAAGTGCAAGGGAATACCATGTTTTACTGTTTAGTTTTAATTTTCATTTTCAGTTATAATATATTTTAAAAAGCCACATGTGGCTATAGCAACAGTATTAGACAACAGATCTCTAGAGAAGAGTACAAGAAAGAAAAATAATTTACTTACAAGATGGTTCTACTTTTCTACCCTTGATTCTTCAATCTCAAATCTACCACAGTGCTGTCCAGTGTGCAGACTCTTAAAGTTAGGGACAGGTCAGATTCTACATGTCAGAGAAGGTCTGTCCTCTCACAATATAATGTTCTACCTCACTGAATGCATCCTAATGTGGGATGTTGTAGGAATTGCCTTATCTTCCTTTGCTTCCTTCCAATGACTCCAACCACGTTGTTGTTGTTGTTACTGTTACAGTTATATGCCATCGAGTCACCTGCGACTCATAGCGACTCTATGTACAACAGCCCTAAACTCTATTCTGTCCTGTGCCAATTGCATTGTCTCTGACACATCCAACCAATTACTCCAGTCACTGAATCAATCCAACTCACAGAGGGCCTTCCCCTACTGCATTGTCCCTCCACCGTACCAAGCATGATGTCCCTCTCCAAGGACCGGTCCCTCCTTACAACATGTCCAAAGTATGTTAGACAAAGCCTCAGAATCCTTGCCTCCAAGGAGCAGCCAGTTTTAATCCTCTCCAGGATGAACCTGTTTTCTTAGCAGTCCATGGTATACTCAATACTATTCTCCAGCACCACAGTTCAAAGGAATAAATTCTCCTTCTAGCCTTCCTAGTCATTGTCCAACTCTCTGATGCATAACAAGTGACTGCAAAGACCATGGCCTGTTTGAGATGCACTTTAGTCTCCAGAGTGACACCATTACTCTTCAGTACTTTGGAGAGGTCGCTAACAGCAAACTTTCCCATGGCAATACGTCTTTTAATTTTCTGGCTACTAGTACCAAGAGTGTTGACTGTGGAGTCAAGTAGACTAAAGTTGTTAACAATCTCAGTCTCTTCACCATCCATCCTGATGCTGCCAGTTGGTCCAGTGGTGAGAATCTTTGTCTTCTTGATATTAAGCCTCAATCCATATTGTAGGCTGCAGTCCTTGACCCTCTGTAACAAGCACTTCAGGTCCTCCTCAGTTTCAGCAAGCAGGGTTGTGTCATCTGCATAACGCAGATTGTTGATAGATCTTTCACCAATCCTGATGCCACACTTCTCCTCATAGAGCCCAGCTTTCTGGATAATCTTGTTCGGCATACAGGTTGAAAAGGTATGGAGATAGGACACATCCCTGGCATATGCCCTTCCCAATCTTGAACCATGCAGTGTTTCCTTGCTCTGTTCTGACATCTGCGTCTTGGTCCAAGTATAGATTAAGCATTAGCACGATCAAGTGTTCTGGGATTCCCATTCTTCTCAGAGTCAGCCACAGTTTGTTATGATCCACACAGTCAAACACCTTTGCATAATCAAGAAACACAGAAATTTCTCTGGTATTCCCTGCTTTCAGCTAAGATCCATCTAACATCAGCTACAATATCCCTAGTACCACGACCCCTTCTAAACCCACCCTGGACTTCTGGCAGTTCTCTGCTGATGTGCTGTTCTAGTCGTTTTTAGATAGTCTTCAGTAGAATCTTGCTTGCATGTAAAATCAATAATATTGTTCTGTAGTTTCCACATTCTGTTTGGTCACCCTTCTTTGGAATGGGAACAAATATCGATCTCTTTCAGTCATTTGGCCAAGTGGTTGTTCTGTAGTTTTCTTGGCACAACTGATTTAAAGTAAAAAAAGTCCCTCTCCCTTGTGGACTTTCCAGCCTCCACTGCCTTTGCTCAAGCCCTTGTCACATCTTTCTTGGAATTCCTGGCATGTACATCTATCTCCCTTCAGAAGATCTGTCTGCCCTCTCTCTTTCTTACCATTCATCCAGTACAGTCATACTATTATCTTTCTAAAATAGCAAAGTACCCTCCTCCTTAACTATCACTTATTCAATATGACCTGAGTGTTTGACAGAAAGCTATAGCATCTGCGTTTTTAGCAAGATCCCTTGTGATGTGTACTAGTGAGAGAAATTTGACAAAGAACTGCTTTCAACAGGACACAGCTGGAAATAGTAAGACTGGAAAGAAGACTACTAATCTTTGCCATTGTCTTACTTTGGACATTAGAAATAAATGCATTAGTCACCTCATAACGTCTAATTATCCAATAACCCTCACACACAGGGACCGTCACTATTTTTCTTAGGGAGGAATAGGCTGAGAGAAAATATGTCCTTCTAAGTCCATAACAATGAACTCTGACTTGGCTCCAGCCCAACCTAAGTCCTTTCTAGAAACAACGTTTTCTGAATATGATCAATATTCAGGACATCATCTGTACTGGCTGTTAAGTGGACATTCCAAACAGAAAGAGCATATGGGCACAAGTGTCAGAGGCACATTGCTAAGAGCAAAATCTAAAAGCTACTTTCTTGGAGAGTTTCCAGGGTTTATTATGACAAAATATATATTCTGACTTACCTCGACTGTAAGGGAACATTCACAAACATGTTCTGCCCATGATCCCCTATGTTTGAGAGTATTTTCTGAATCTAGGGTCTCAGGAAACAATCTTTGGGAAGCATCCTTCACTGACTCTAAGTAAATGTCTGTCTCTGACTTTAGCCTTTTCCTTTCAGTTATTCCTATACCCACACTTTCCCACCCCTTCCCCATCCTCTCTAGCATGCACATCCTCTGAGGTCTCTGCACATACTCATTTCCCAGGCTGCCCTTTCTGCCTACCTTGCTCCTGCTTCTTGAGCTCAATCTTCTCTTTAAAGATCTGGTCCAACATCACAGTCCAGTGACACTTTAGCTCTCTTAGGTGGTTCCCACTTTCCCTGCACCTCCAAACCACTGCCCATGAACCTACACTGGAATTGTTTATGACACTGACTCTCCATATTACTCTCATCACTGTCAGCTTGAGGAGAGCACAATTTTCTTCTAAGGAGGCTTTCAATTACAGAAGTAATATATGTTTTTTTTTTTAAAGTAGTATGTAAGAGGTGTAGAAAAAACAAATGAAATTACTCTTTCTCAAAAAAATATAAAATTAACAGCACTGGGAAAATCTGCTACCAAGGACCTCTCCAAAGTACAAAAGAACACTGATGTCACTTTAAAGACTAAAGTTCCTCAAAACAAATGACAATAAAAATACTACGTTCCAAAGACTAAAGTATACCTGAGTCAAGCCTCAGTATTTTTTTCCCTCATCTGTTATTTATAGGGAGATTACAAATTTCAGTGTTCTCTATAGTATCTAACAACAGCAAAAGCTATTTTCATAAGTGTGATTAATAGTAACTCAGATACATCATAACAGATAACATAAAAATAATACAGAAATATTTTTTCTTTAGGCACTATTTAAGGACAGTGGTGGTTCAGTAAGGTACTAGTATTTTTAATTAGTTTCTCTTGCATCTCAAAGTTGGACAAGGAATAAGGATGATCAAGGAAATATTGATGCCTTTTGAAAGGCAGTATTGGCAAAGAGTATTGAATATCCCATGAACTTACAAAAGAACAAAAAAGTCTGTCTTAGAGGGAACGCAGCCAGGAAATGCAGATGACGAAGTTGAATCTCACATACTTTGGGCATGTAGTAAGGAAAGGCCAGTCTTTGGAAAAAGCATTGTGCTAGGAAATGCAGAGTGTTAGCAAAATAGAAGGCTCTCAATGAGCTAGATTGATTCTGTGACTGTAACAATGAACATGTCAGAGAGCAGGAGGGTGACAAGATTCAGATCTGTAATTCAGAGGGTCACTATGAGTTGTAATGGGCATGGCAGCACATAACAACAATAGCATTGATAGTTTCTGGATATGCCTTTCTTTTGTATTTTTATTTTGCATCTCTAGACAGCTCATGGCCTCATCTTGGACTATCTCATTGTGCAAAGACAGGCAGAATGTATAAGGGCTATGAGTGTAAACACTGAAACCTGTCTACTGTATCGCTAGAACTAATTCCTCATCTATAAAATTGGATGATAAACCATTCCTTCTTGCAAAGTTGAATTAGAAGTAAATTAGATTACACACACAAAAGGAATTAGAATGTAGATGTAATAACTGCTAAGTACTACCTCTTATTAGTTTCCTAAAGTTTAATATATTTACTCATTTCTGTGTTTGGGAAATCTCTACATTTATTTATTCACAGCACTACCAAATTTTAATACTACAAATTGTGCAATGCTATATCACAATTTACTTAGCTTCCCCATAAAATTGAAGGTTGTTTTTGACATTATAGGTAATCTATCCAAATGTTGTGCACTTATACAAAGTTTTACCAGTGCCCTATATGACAGATTGCTCTGAGAGATGGTGCTTTCTCAGAGGGTACAAACATTTAAATTTTAATCAAAATTTCTGAACCAAATCCTAAAAAAAAACCCTAGGTCCATTTAGACATACTCATATATGTTTATTCTCATTTATTATGGGCATGACTAATCTTTTTTTACACTGTAAAGCCAGACTGGAAACACAGTACATAGTATATAGTGTGGATTGATAACCAGAAAGTCAGTAGTTTAAATGCACCGTTTACTCCACAGAAAAAAGATGGGCAATTTCTTCTCAAAGATTTCAGCCTTGGAAACGCAATGGAGAAATGCTATGAGTTGGAACTGACTCGAAGGCAGTGGGCCCATTTGGGGTCTTATTTCTATTTCAGCACAACACTACCAACACACAGATCATCAACAACACAACACTCATTACCGTGCTCAAACTGGTGTTTTCATCTGGGAGCATGATGATCATATTCAGCTCCTTCTTGACATAGGGAAGAACTAGAATCTGGGTAAATATCTCTTTTATATAGGTTATTTTGAAATTAGCTCTTTTAAACATCATTTGCACAGGTTTCTGTTCTTTCTGTAAAGGAAACAGATAAACATCACTCTCAAACATGGCCCAGATTAAACACATGGAACATATTCAAAACAGTAGGCAGCTCTTTGCTATTAGAACTACTTTCTTACTTTCTAAAACTCCAGGTCAGTCCTTTCCTTTGCTATTTTGTCATTATTACCTGCACCTCCAAGCCCCGGAGGTCCAGGACTCAATCTTTAAACTTATTTTCTATGATGATCTCATGTAGACATTGACTTTAATACGCATTCACATTTCAAGCCAAACTTCCCCCAGTATCCCAGACATGACTACTAACTCCTAGATACCACTACTTGTATTGGAAATAGGTAATAACTTCCCACTGGAACAGAGCTCTGAGCAGAAAAAGAAATTTTAAAGAAGAACATGTTGTTGACATTGTTAAGTGCCTTCAAGCCGACTATGTCTCACTGCCGCCCTATAAACAATAGATCCGAACCTTGCTCTCTGCAGTGCCATCTTCATGCCCATTGTTGTAATAACTGCATCCCTCCACCTTGTTCAAGGGAGTTCCCCTATTTCTCTGACTCTCCACATTTCCCAGCATTTTTTCTTTCTCCAAAAGACTAGTCCTTTCTAACAAGCACAGAGTATGTGAGAAGAAATACCATCATCCTTGCCTCTAAGGAACACCATGATTGCACTTCCTCTAAGTCAGACATTTCCCAGTAAAGCTCCCAGTAAAGAGGACATCTTTCTTGAGAAACTGAAGGTTCAGGCTCTGGTTAACCTGAGATCTAAATCAGAGTCAGTAATCAAGTATAGTCTCCTTTGCCATAAAAATTAACCTATGCTGTGCATAAAAGAATATATTTGACCTTTCTCAGGCTAAAAGAATTGAAGAACAATGTTTTACTCTTTTTTTTTTTTAATCTTAATGAAAATTTACAAGACTTTGGATTTTCATTCATTCATTGTTGCACTTTTCTCCCTGCCCACCCATGTCTCTTTGAAATGAAAAAGAAAAATTCTTTTATTGTTTTACAATCCCTCCCCCAAGGTCCAGTCAACTATGCGGCCTTCATTCTGGGCTCCTGTCATGACAATAATACCTAATCACATATCCTTTTTTTAAAAAAAAAAAACAAAACTGTTTTCTCCCTCATCTGTTTCAATGCAGTATACATTATTGACCCCATCTTTCTCAGTCTTCCCCCAACCCCGATGTCAGTCCTGTTTTACAACAGTGGCACCATGCAGTATTTGTCCTTCTGTGACTGAGATATTACACTCAGCATAATGTCCTCCAAAGTCATCCATTCTGAATAATATTGCATGAGTTCCTTGTTTTTTAATGCAGCATAGTATTCCATTGTGCGAATATACCACAGCTTCTCTAGCCATTCGTTTGTTGATGGGCATTTAAGTAGTTTCCAACTCCTTGCTATTGTGAGCAAAGCTGCACTGAACATGGGTGTGCATATATCTGCTTGGGTAGCAGTTATGGTCTCTTTGGGGTATAGTCCCAGTAGTGGAATTGCTGAGTCAAATCTCTATTTGCAAATTTTTGAGAAAGTGCCACACCGCTTTCCACAGTGGTTGCACCATTTTACACTCCCACCAACAGTGAATAAGGGTTCCAGTTTCTCCATAATCTCGCCAGCATTTGTTGCTTGGTGTTCTGTTAAATTTTGCTATTCTTATTGTGGTGAGAGCATATTTCATAGTTGTTTTTGAAGAAGAAATTTGAGCTTCAAGTCGCAATACTGAAGGACTTTATGAGGCAAAATGTTGAAAGAGGCCAGAAGCTTCAAAAGAAAGTGGATGGATGGCACAGAGTCATTGTATAAAAAGAATTAGTCAATCTTAAACCATTTCAAAAGGTACCAAATGATCAAGTCACAGCAGTTGTGAAGATAGAAGTTTAAACTGGACACAATGGCAAAAAAAAAGAGGCTCTAGATATTTTTTTAATTATTCATTATAGTGAACGTTTACAGAGCCCTTGGACTTCCACCCATTCATTCTTGCATTTATCTCCCTGCCCACCCCTCCCCTCCAATTCACACTTCTCTCTAAAGAGTAAAAGAAAAACTCTTTCATTGTTATACAACCTTTCCCCCCAAGTCCACTCCACTATGCAGCCTTCATTCTGGACTCCTCTCAAGATAATAATACCTAATTGTAAATCACTTTGAAACAATTCTCTCCCTCATCTGTTTCAATGCAGTACACATTATTTATTCCCTCTTTCTTCACCTCCCCTCAAACCCGATGTAAGTCCCATTTTACGACAGTGGCACTATGCAATATTGGCTCTTTTGTGACTGAGCTATTTCACTCAGCTTAATATCCTCCAAGATTATCCATTTTGTGGAAAAATTCATGAGTTCCTTGTTTTTCAATGCAGTGTAGTATTCCATTGTGTGAATATATCAGAGCTTCTATATCCATTCACTTGTTGATGGGCATTTAGGTTGTTTCCAACTCTTCGCTATTGTGAACAAAGCTGCAATAAACATGCATGTGCATATTATCTGCTTGGTTGGCAGTTATGGTTTCTTTAGTTCATATTCCTAGTAGTGGAACTGCTTGGTCAAATGGTATTTTTATTTGCAAAGTTTTGAGAAAGTGCCAGACATCCTTCCACAGTGGTTTCACCATTTTACACTCCCATCAACAGTGAATAAGGGTTCCAGTTTCTCTGCAACCTCTCCAGCATTTGTTGTCTGGTGTTCTGTTAAATTTTGCTATTCTTACTGGGGTGAGACGATATCTCATAGCTGTTTTGATTTGCATCTCTTTTAGAGCTAGGGATTTTGAACATTTCTTCATGTGCTTGTTAGCTATCTGAATGTTTTCTTTGGTGAATTGTCTGTCTATTCATATCCTGTGACCATTTTTCAGTTGGGATGTTTAACTTTATCTTGTTATAGTGATAGAGTTTTTTATAAATTCTAAGTATAAGTCCCTTATCTGACATGTCACGCAGCTTCCCTTTTTACCCTGTTGGAGAAGTTTTGGGATGTGCATAGGGATTTGATCCTTAGAAGGTCCCATTCATCTAGTTTATCTTCACCTGATTGTAGATTTTTCAGGATGCTTGGAAGATTGTTTATGTTGTGGATTAGGACTTCTAGAGTTCTTCCAAGCTTTTCTTCTTCTTCTTCTTTTTTTTTCTGTATCACTACAAATTTTATTCAGAAACCCATCTTTGTGTTTTTTGTTGTTTTCCAAACTTTTCTTGAATGAAGTGTATAGTCCTTGGTTTTAGTCCTTGGCCCATGATCCATTTTGAGTTTATTTTTATGTATGGAGTGAGGTATGGATCTTGCTTGATATTTCTACAGATAGTTTTCCAATTTTGCCAGCACTATTTGTTTAAAAGGCTGTTATTTCCCCACTTAACGGATTTCATCTCTTTGTAAAAAATAATTTGACCATAGATAGATTGGCTGGAGGCTCAAGATATTATAACAAAATGTGCAAAGAGCTGGAGTCAGAAAAACAAAATGGCTGAACTTAAGCTGAGTTGTTGTTATGTGCCGTCGAGTCGCTTGCGACTCATAGCGACTCTATGTACAACAGCCCTAAACTCTGCTCTGTCCTGTGCCAATCGTACTGTCTCTGACACTCCCATCCTGATTATCCCAGTCACTGAATCAATCCACCTCTTAGAGGGCCTTCCCCTCCTGTGCCACTCCTCTACCCTCCCAAGCATGATATCCTTCTCG